TGTATAGATGAAGCTTTTTCAGATTTTCGGTTCCTTTTTGTTCTCTGACCAATAGTCTTATCAACTGGCCAATCACCAACAAAATTCGATAGCTCATGTCTTGGAAACTTTTCCGAAGGTGATTTGCTTTTTTGTTTCCCAAAGGCTTTTTTCTTTACTGTTGTTCTTTCTTCTAATATTTCACCTGATGAAGATTTTTCATTTTGAAGTGGTACAGTATTTGCCAGATCGAAGTCTTGATTATTTTCACCAGAGCAAATACTTGGTGATACTCTATCTGCATCAGTTTTAATACACTGTTTTTCAGTTGTCATTTCTACTTGCTCTTCTTTTTCTCTCTTGTCTGCTACTTGAACTTTGCTTCCAGAGTCTGAAAGATAGATGTGTGCAGCTTCCTGAATGAACTGACTCTGAGTGTTATGATGTATACCACTTATTTCTTTCCTTCCTTTGCTTATATCTGCATGGGGGAGATATGTAATATTCTCAGGCAACACCGTTTCTTTGGTCAYTTCAGGATTCTTTTCTTCAATTAATTCTAGATGCTTCAGTGATGAGGATAAAACATTTTCTTCTTTTTCAGAGGTAATATCTTCATTGTCTCTTGGGCTGTAAGATGGTTTTTAAAAGTATTATAAGGAAGTTTCTTAGTGTTGGCATTAATACCATGATTTAAGAAGTATTTGACTGAAAGACAGGGCACTTACCACTTATTCTAAAAAATTCTAAAAATAAATTACATTAAAATTATAAAAGCCACGCTAGGGATATAGTTCAGTGATGAAGTGCATGCCTAGCATACAGCAATTCCTGCATTTAATCCCATGTGTAACACCAAAAAAATTTTTTTTTCTTTAAAACAAAAGCTAATGTTGATCTTCCCTATTATAAACTATGAACACATCATTTGTTGTAGCCTCAAACACTTAGCTAGCATGAGGCTTAGCACATCTGAAGCAAATTCTTTGAACTGAATAATAAACATGAGATTTTTTCAGTAAAGGTATTCATTATGCACTAAATATTAAAGTCAAGGATGTAAATTTGTTCCCAGGAGAGCATACCACCTCCCCAGCTTCTTTTAAACCTATTTAAACTTAGCATATGTAAAACTAGGTCTACCTCTATATCTATATGTGTCATGTATTACTAAAGCAGCTTCATTTACAAAGTCACAAAGAGCCAACCAAGATGATTTACATGATTAAAAGAAATTAGAGAAAGGGGAAGAGATTTCATTTGAGATGTCATCTGTTAAATGTTTTAAAATCATGCTTGATGTTAATTTCAGACTCAGAACACTTTTGCCTAATCTTACACTTTCAACTTCAGTGATTTTTCCTTATTTAATTTGTCCATTTATCCTCCTTTCTTTCTTTATTCTAGGAACCCTCAAAGTCCCAACTCTCCCATGAAGCCTTCCTAAGTGAAATCATACCAGACATTCATTGAACTTTCTATGTGCCGGATTCTATTCTTTACAGTATCCTATGAGGAGAGTGTTGTTACTGTCATTTAGTAATAATGAGATAAAAGTAAAGAGAGAGTTTGTGATTTATCAAAGATTAGAGCTTTGGGATTTGGGCCTAGGAAATATAGCTCAAGTCCATGTTCTTAACCAACCACTTTGCAATACCATTTCTCAATTAAAAATCATTTATGAGTTTTCTCTTCTCCACTCCCAACTCCCTTTTTTTTTTGGGGGGGGGGGAGTCCCAGGGATTGAATTCAAGGGCACTCAACCACCGACCACTGAGCCACATTCCCATCCCTATTTTGTATTTTATTTAAAGACAGGGTCTCACTGAGTTGCTTAGCATCTCGCTGTTGCTGAGGCGTACTTTGATTCTCCTGTCTCAGCTTCCTGTGCTGCTGGGATTACAGGTGTGCACCACAGCGCCTAGCTCCAACTTCCTTTCAACAGAGTCTCTCCATCTTTTATCATCATAAAATATGTATAATTAAGACCTCTACATATATCTCGGTTCTTCTTTACTCACTTATTTATCAAATATTCATGTACTATAAATACTTAGTAGAATCAGTACTGATATGGTTTGGCTAAGTGTTCCCCACTGGCCATAAGGTAATCAGTTTTGCTCCTCCACACAATCCCACCATGATAAACTGCCTCACCCAGGGCAAAAGCAATAGGGCAACCAGGCCAAAAGCAAACCTTTTCTGTTCATTAGATGATTGTCTCACATATTCTGTTACAGTGAAAAGGAAGCTGACTAACACAAGTATATCCCAGATAGTAAACTTCCAAAGGGCTACAATATATATAACTCAGTAAAAGTATATTATGAATAACTAACTTTTATGAGACTAGCTTGAAAGAATATTTTCAGTAAAATATTAGAAAATTAAGATGTGATTTGGATATACATAAAATAACAACAGTGAAGAGATAGGGAAACACTGGAATAGTAGAGCACATTACATAAAGAAGACAGATGTATTCATAGTACAATCACAAATTCACAAAACTCTAAATACAATGAAAAAACTTTTATATTATCTTTCACATGAACTTTCACTTCTCTAACTTAACCTCAGCTAACTCCAGAGGAGACTGTACCTAAACCCTTAAAAATAACAAAAGTCTACCTCATTTTTAAAGTTAATTAGCAGTAATTTTACAAGCTCCAAAAGTAACTGGTTTCAAAAAATATTATGTTTCAAATTGAATTTTTTTACATAAGGCATTTTAACCTACCTGGAATTTCTATCCTCACAAGAATATGCACATAATTCAATACGTTCAATTTTCTCTGGAACTGAAGAACTCATGATTATTGGCACTGAAACAAAACGTTGATAGTGGTCTAACATTCTTGTTATTTTTTCTTTGCTTATCCCATGAATATTACGCCTAAAAATTCCAGGAAAGAAAAGGTGCAAAGGATATTGGTAATTGATTTTTTTTATTAAATATAATGTCTAGGAAAACAATGATACATATACATTTCTCTTTTTTTTCCTTTTTTTTTTTTTCCCCTTCAATACTAGAGATGGAACTCAGGGCCTTGAGCAGGCTAGGCAAGAATTCTACCACTGGGCTACTATCCCCATTAATGATACATTTCTAACACATAATCTTAAACTGTTTATTATGATGTAATATATGCTATTTGATTCTAATTTTCATTTTTGTCAGACTTATTAATAAATTGCCATTTTCTTAATCATCCCATACAATCTTTTTCAAATACCCTTTATCAATTTGTGAAAAAGGAGGTTTCAATAACTTTAAAAGAAGTTGTTCTCAAGTCTGCAAAAAATCTCATAAGCATGTGACTGTCATTTCAAGGTATTAACGAACTATTAACTAGTAAGTAACAGACATCACATTATAAAAGTTTCCCCTTGTGCCAGTATTGCAGACCAGATGCCCCAAACTGCCCTCCTACTATAATAAAACTAGATCCCAAGTAAATTAAAATGAACATGTTTTATTAAATTTTAAGTTCAAGCAAAGAACAAAGACTCTGGATATCCAAATATGAAGTTATTTGTGTTTTCACTCATGGTGGCTTATTTCTTCATGTGTCTTTGTTAGTGAGCTCATATTTAGTTGAAACTAAAACATGGAAATCCTTAGCTCTTAAACTAAAGGAGCTTTCATTCATATGGCATCTGGATCTGCATCTGCCCAGGAGGTGAGATGGTTATGCTTTAGTCACTCAAGTGTCTTGTCTTAATGAAAACATGTCAGCTACAACTCTTCTATCCTAGGTTAGAGTCAAAGTTTCACGTCTGAATCCCAGGGCTAATGTTATTGTTTGCCTCTTGGATGAATCTGGCTTTCATATTTACCTACCTCGATCTTGTCTGGTTTCAGATCACAGAGAAGCAAAGAGATAGAAAATATGAAAGACAGGTTAAGAAACATAGACATAGAGGACAGAGCAAAAAGGTCTAGTACATATCTAATTCAAGTCCCAGGAAGAGAAGAGAGTGCATGGGACAAAATCAACTTAAAGAAAAATGCTGAAAAATTTTCAGACCTGATGAAAGATACCAATCCCCTGATTTCAGGAGCCAAATTCCAAACAAGATAAAAATAAGAAATCCATAACTAGAAAACCAGAACCGAAACTGTCATATACCAAAGACAAAGAGATGATATTAAAAAGCAGCCAGAATGTTTTTAAAAAAATGTTTAAGGTAGTCATCTACAAAGGAACCAACAATTAGAATGACAGACAGCTAAGTCAACAAAAATAGAAATGAGAAGAGAGTTAAATGTCTTCAAAAACAGAAAATAACTATCAACCTAGAATATACAGCAAAAGTATCTTACAAGAATGAAGACAATAAAAGGATTTTCAAATCAAAATTTAAAAAAAAAAGAGTTTGACACCAAGTATACCTTCATTGTAAAGAAAATTTTTAAAGAAAAAAAATTCAGGCAGAGGGAAATTCCCAGATGAAAGGTCTACAATGCAAGAAAAAAATGAAGCCCAAAGCAATAACTACGTGAATAAGTAAAAACAAATGCTGCCAATATATACTGAACAATGATACCATGTAAGTTGGATGGGAGGTAAGTATCACAGTTACAATGTCTTAAAGTTCTTGTACTTATGAAGAAGAAGGCTAAGAAAATGGTTTTAAAGTTTGTATGATAAAACATATCAAGTAACTATTAAAAGAATAAATATAGTGTATATAATCTACAAATTGGTAAAGTAAAAAAATGAATACAAAATGTAGATTCAATCAAAAAATTCCAAAATAAAGCATGATAGGAGAAAAAAACCAATAATATAATTTCTTGTGACAGAACAGTCACAGAAAAGGTAAGATAAAGAGAAAGCACAGTGAGACAGTAAGAAGGATAATCAATTATATGAATAACAAAACCACAAAAATAACTAAGTTTATGAGTTAAAAGCCAAGATGGACGGAATAGAATTTTTAAAACCTGACCATAGCAGTTACGAGAGATACATCTAAACATAAAGACACTGAAGGGTTGAAAGCACAAGTATGAAAAAAGAAACACTAAAATACTAAAAGGAAGCTGTCATAGTTCTATTAATATTAGACAAATTAAACTTCACAGCACAATTACTATTAAAAATGAAAGAAAAAAAATCACTAGAAAGGTATAAAAGTTTCTTTCATTAGGGTGATATCAAAATCTTAAGCACCTATGAACAAATACTCTCAATATATATACAGCAAACTTAGGAAGAAGGATAAAGAGAAACTGACATGTTCAACATAACAGAGGAATATATCAACACACCTCTCTCACACTGGGAGATTTCACCATCACTTTCCCAAATACTAATCTATCAGGCAGGAAAAAAAAAAAAATAGCAAGCTATAGGTGATGTTAAGCAACATTAAGTAATAAGCATAATTAATGGATATGCTAACATACTATAACCAGTATACATTCTTATCAAACATGGAATATTTATTAAATAATGACAACTGGGCCATAACACATTTTAAAATATCAAAGAATTAATATGATACAAACCATGTAATCTAATCTCCTATATGTAAATTGAAAATCAATTTTTTAAAAAGGATAACACCTATCCAGAAATATAAAAACAAAGTTCTAAAAACCCAAGAATTAGAGAATAAAATTAACCATATGCAATTTAGAAAACAAATAAGAAAAAAGAAAGCATTATATATTAAAATTCTGATACCAGATAAAGTAGCACACAGGGAAATATATGGCATCAAATGCTCCTATCAGAAAATGACTTGTATGTTCAGGTAATGAAGTTTTAAAAATAACAGAAAAAGCAAAGAAAACAGATATTTTTAAAAAGCAAAGAAGGTAGAATAAAGAGAATCAGAAATTAATTAAACATAAAACAACTTACAATAGAAAAGATCAACCAACCCCAAGAGTTGTTTTTTTGAAAGGCTAATAAAATAAAATGTAAAAAAATGAAATCTGAGAATAATCAAGAAAAAAAAGAAGGAAGATACTTTAAACACACTAGGGTTGAAAGGAGAAACTTAATTGTTAATGTAGCAGAGATGTAATAAAAGTCTTAATAATTTTGGTGTAATGGAAAAATTTTAATTGAACCTTCTCACAAAGAAAACACCAGATCCAGACAGTTTTATAAGTAAATTTTATCAAATGCCTGAACTTAGATAAACTAGAATGAGAAAAAGAGGCAATACTTCCCAATTAATTTTGTGGACCTAAAACTATTGATAGCAGCCAAGGCCAGCCAAAGAAGGAAAAAATGCAGGTCAATCTCACTCATTTATCCAGATGCAAAAATCCTAAATGGACTGCAGAAAACCAAATCCAGTAAAGTATTAAAAAGATAATTAAATAGAAAAATACAGATATGTGCTACAACATGGATGATCCTTGTAAATATTATGCTAAGTAAAAGATGCCAGACACAAAAGGCTATAGTTGTACAACCATTTATATATGATGTCCAAACAGGAAAATCCATAGAGACACAAAACAGATTAGTGGTTGTCAAAAGGAGGGGGTAACTACTAGTAATTGCTAGCAGTTACAGGGTTTCTTTTTGAGGAAATGGAGGAATTAGTGGTAATGGTCATGTAACATTGTGAATAGTAAAGTTAGGTTGTCCTTAGTTAGTATTAAAGTTAGTTAAAACTACCAAGAGAAAACAGCATGACCAAAATTAAGTTAGGCCTATCTCTACAGAAATACAGAGAATAAAGCAAAACACATTGTATGTCCATGTCCTAAGTAACATTTTTACTCATCAAGCAACCAAATAAAAAAGTATTATCCTAAGAGGTGAGAGAGTGAAAATACTTGGATGTGACATTTACTACCTTTTCAATCCTTACCACCCTTCAACATTCTAACTCTGCAATATAAGAACCTCCCAGTAGCACACAGTTCAGCTGTGCCAAATCCTAGTCAGTTCTCATTTTAGATATTAATGTTACTATTAAAAGGAATTGAAGTACTACTACATAAAACAATTGAAATTTTTTTGACTATAAACACAATTTTAAAAACAAAAACCTTCATTAAAAATGGAAAAACCCCATAAACAATACAAAATTTGTTATCAGTTTCTAAGTAGCAAAGCTGAAATCTAGTCAATTTTACTTCATTTATCTTCCATAAGAGAAAAAAAATCTACATGGATTTCTCTGTTACTGTCATGAAATGAAATAACAAACATTTTAGGTAGCTTCTAAGTTTTACCTTGCAAGCTCCTTCGGTTTGAATTTCCACCATGTGTCTGGTTCCCGGAAGAGGACCTTATATTTATGTTTTTGAGACTATAAATGAAAAGACAAGAACACTTTAAAACAATTATTTCTATGAAATTATTATATACATTGTTTCTAAACTCATAGCATGTTAAAAAATAAAAGAACATCAAAGATTATCTGATGGGTATGTTAAACTGATAAAATGCACAATTTATTTGACCCAGCATTTAACTTACAGAAATTTATGTTACTGATATCCAATATAAGAGAACAAAGATGGATAAATAAACACACACACACACACACACACACACACACACACACATCCCACATTCACATATGCCAGGATATCCAGCACTATCATTTGTACTAGTGAAAAAATACAAATAACTCAGTGAACATTAACTTGGATTTGGCTAAGTAAATGAAGGTATAACCATAAAATAAAGATATTATACAGTAATTTCTAAAATTTCACATGTGTTAAATAAAAGAAGTCCTTAATATAAATTGCTGAGGAAATTAAGACAAAAAATTTTTCACTTGGTTACAAAAGAATTATTCACCCATTTGTACGTGCACAGAAACTCCTAGAAAGAGTGTCAAAATATATAGAGCATTTAACTCTAAGGAAAACTTCAGGCACTGTTTTTTGCAATTTGAATATTTATCATATATGTGCATAACTTTTATAATTTTGAAACTCTTTTAAGTAATAGTTTATAACATTTTCAAAGCACTAATATAGGTATAGACTAACAGCCAACCTCTATACTTGTACACAAGATCTAGCCCCTCTTTCCTAACCAAAAGTAACTGAGAAAGGCAATTCTCCCTCTTGTGTCATCAATAAATCTTCCTTCCCTCCTTAATCAATCCCATAAGTATATGAAACTCCATCCAGTTATTTCTCCCATTTTACTCTTGTCTCTACTTCCACTGTCAGCTATATCCCTATTTTCCTGCTCCCTTTTGTTTAAAAAAAAAAAGTCTCAAAATTATTACCATCTTTTCTTTCTCTAATTACTAGCCTCTCTTCAGGCCTCACCAATAGGCATCAAACAAGCAAATAACTTCCACATTGAAAAATGCTATGATTCTCAGTCCTCTCTCACTTGACTCTAAGCCACATCTAACACACTTACTTTATGACACACTCTTCTATTTCATACTCTTCTCTGTCTTTTCTATGCTAGCACTTTCTTTTCAGCTAATGATAATCTCCAGTTATACCAGACAAAGACTAACCTTAATGTCACAAGTGATTGACTCCTCCTTCTCCTCTATCCCACCAGTACTAGGAATTGAATCCAGGAACTTGCATATGCTAGGCAAGCTTCTACCACAAAGTTATATCCCCAGTCCTTTTCGGGTGGAGGATGGGGAAGACAGAATATCACTAAGTGGCCCAAGTTGACCTCAAGATCCACCTCAGCCTCCCAAAAAGCTGGGATTGCAGGTGTGTGTCACATGTTCAGCAGCACTCCTCTTTCTATCATACATCAATCCAATAAAAAATTCAGTTTGCTCTACTTTCAAAACATATCCAGAATCTAATCACTACTTACTATCTTCACTGCTACTGTGTTGATAAAAGCCACACAATGTCTAATCTTAATTCTACTACACCAGCCTTCTACTAGTCTCCTTACTTTCAAACTTGCTCCCCAAATCTATTTTCATTAGTGCATTACAGAGATCCTATAATATTCAGATGTCACTACTCTGTTCAGAGCTCTCTATTATGGACTGAATGTTTGTCTCTCCCAAGAAATCATATGTTGAATCAAAGAACTGCACCCAATGTGATAGTATTTTAGAGATAGGACCTTTAAAGAGGTAATTAAGGTTAAATAGGGCCAGAAAGGTGTGGCCCTCATCCAACAGGAATATAAGACACCAAAGTGCTCTCTCCCTCCATCATGTGAAAATACAATGAGAAGATAACCATCTTCAAGTCAGGAAGACAGCCCTTATTAGAAACCAAACTTATAGGAGCTTAATCTAGGACTTCTAACCTGCAGAACTATGAGAAAATAATCTGTTTAATCTAACTGGTCTATGGTATTTTTTTATGGAAGCCCCAGCAAACTGAGACACCCTACAGATCACTCAAGGTAAAATGCAAAATCCTTATAGTGACTGAGTCCTTAATAATGGGCCCTGCCATCACCCCAATATTCATTACATCTCCCAATATCCATCCCATTCCAAACAGAAAAGCCCAAAAGTCAACCCAGACATGAAACAAGGAAGTAATATAATGTCCTATAATGTGCCTACTCCTATCTCCTCACCTCAGCACCAAATTTCAAACAACTTATTCTACGTCTGGCAATGGGTTGGGTGTCTTATTACCTAAAGGGGTGTCATGAAGCAACACACAAGAGAGAATGTGAATTTTAAAATCTTTTCAACTCTTATATGATCAGGTAAATGTTATATTATTTAGGAGCATTCTGGCTGMCTTACGTCAAGCTTCCCTAAGAGAAGCAATATATATGTTTAAAGCAAAGTAATAAGTTGTGGCAGTTGTCAATAAGACTACTTGACTGCTCCCTAGTTATCCTCAACTCATTACTTAGCTACTTTTTGTAAACGAACATGCTCTATTCCACTTCCTGACAGCTCTCTTACCACAAAGTGATCCCCTTCTCTACAGTAATTGCTGTATCTACTTTTTGAAGAAAATATGAGTGTGGCACTCCATGATAAGGTGGCATCCTTTATATACATCAAAGTGCAACTGGGAAGAGCCAAGCAATCAATACAGAAAAATAGTTTCTACATTTTCAATTATTATATAAGAACAAAGGAAAAAGAAAAAATTATAAAAGCCTGAGGCCTAAAAAAAAAAAAAAATCAGAAACTCAGCAAGGAGAGATGCCTTCTCTATTTTCTACATAGGAAAATAAAGTATTTAAAACCTTGGGTTTTTCCCACTCCTGGGGATTGAACCCAGGGCCTGAGGAATGCTAGGCAAGCATTCTACCACTGAGCTCTACATCCCCAGACCATTTCATTTTAAGATAGACTCATTCTAGGTTGCCAAGGCTGGCCTCAAACTTGGGATCTTCCTGCCTCAACCTCCCAAGGAGCTGAGATGTCTAAGAAGACAGCAGGAAGCAAAGGAAGCCCTATGGAGAAATCATGTAAGGTCAAGGGAGATAGTATACTCTTATGATAAACATATTAGCCCAGAAATTAGAACTCCTGGGGCCCAAAAGTAAACCAAATTTCAGCTCCCAGTACCCTAAAATCAAGTCTGTTTCCTCTACTGCCCCTACACAGAAAAAAAAATCTCATTTGCTTTCAAAAGACACAACAATTGTCTTCAGAAGGGTAAAGAATCATACCTTCAAAATAGTACAAGTGTACTAGGTACAGCAAAGGAGACAAACAGAGTCTGGATGTGTTAAGAATATAAAAGAGGAAACACAACACTCATTTACTACAGTAGAAATTACATGTGCTAATGATGGAGGAATAAACCAAAAAATTACCCCACGTTCATAAAAGCTTCATTTATGGATTTACTCAATTAATACATAATTAATATATGCCAAGTATAGTGAGTGCTATGCCCTAAAGATCCAATGACAAATAAAACAATGGTTCTACTCATGAGAATAAATTGATGGCTTAAAGCCAAATCCAGCACAAAAGCCAATATTTGTACAGCTTGGAAACTCAGAATAGTTCTTTACATCCTTAAAGGGAAAAGGAGTAGAAAAGACAGGAGAGGAAGAAACAGAGATTATTTATGGCCCTCAAAACCTAAAATATTTACTGTCACTTTATAGAAAAGGTTAGTCTGATCCATGGCCTACTGATAAAAACTGTATGCTTCATATTACAAAAGAAGTCTCAACATACTTTATATACAACCAAAAATATGAAAAATTGTGCTATATACATGTAATAAGAATTGTAGGGGCTGGGGATGTGGCTCAAGCGGTAGCGCGCTCGCCTGGCATGCGTGCGGCCCGGGTTCGATCCTCAGCACCACATACCAACAAAGACGTTGTGTTCGCCGAGAACTAAAATAAATAAATAAATATTAAAAATTCTCTCTCTCTCTCCCCCTCTTCTCTCACTCTCTCTTTAAAAAAAAAAAAAAAAAAGAATTGTAATGCATTCTGCTGTCATTTTTTTTAAATCAATAAAAAAAAGAAGTAAGTACTATGGGAGTAGAAAAAGTACCTAACTGGCTTTTAACAAGTTAATGACAGCTACAGAAGAGATGACCCCAAAGATGGATAAAAAAGAACAAATGTAAACCAGGCAAATGTGGTAGGAAGGTGATGTAGGTGTGCTTCAGGCAAAGGAAGAAGGGCTAGGTATTAAGGGGAATTTGGCAAATTTGGCAAATAGATAATAAAGTTTATAGAATTCTGAATTTCTCAGAATAGCTAAAAAAGTTAGTTTTTAGTTAATTTGTAATTTAATAAACATGATCTTTTCATAAAATATATCAAAACAAAAAAACAATCTCAGAAATTAACATCTGAATTACAGAATTTAAAAATTAAATAAATTTACTAGCTTATGGAAAAACCCAGCTGAATTGATTGTGCTATTTTTCTTATTTTACCAATAACCAGAAAGCTCAGTTAGAGAAAGAACAACCTCAGATTCTCAAGGGCTTGAGATTTACTTGGGTAATTAATATCCTCCAATGTTTCCAAACACACTATTTTAAACTTAAGATAACTTATGGTACAAACCAAAGCAACATATGGCTTCATTTCCCAGGCCTGTAGGTTTGTATTGTCTATTATTATTGGTGATATCTTCTTCTCAAATGCTTCTTTAGCTGAAAAATACAATAGAAAATGACAAATCACCTTTAATAATATTAAGTATTATCTTGATTTTTAAAAAATCTGATCTTGTTTACATAATTTGAAAACCATAGACATAACCTAATTTTACTCACTACTTGACTTCTAAATACCACTTTTGAGAACATGCAAAGTTAAAGTACAAGTCAACATTGAATAATAAATACTGAAGCTATGTAATCAGAAAAAATTATATTATGCTAAAAAAAAACACATGGACTGGACACAGTGGTGCACATCCATGATCCCAGCAGCTCGGGAGGCTGAGGTAGGAGGATTGAAAGTTCAAAAAAAGACAGTCTCAGCAACTTAGCAAGGCCCTAAGCCACTTAACAAGATCCTGTCTAAAATAAAAAATAGAAAGGGCTGGAAATACGACTCAATGGTTAAACGCCCCTGGGTTCAATCTATGGTATCAAAATAAATAAATAGATAAAAACTACATGGTACGCTATATTAGATTTGGGAACAAAAAAGGACTTTAGTGGAAATGTTAAAATCCAAATAAAGTCTGGAGTTTAATTAATAGTAATGTACCAATATTAATTTGTTTTGATGAATATACCATAGTTATATATAAGATGTTAACATCAAGCAAAAATGGTTGAAGGATATATATAGAAGCTCTCTACTAACCTTCCAACTTTTTGATAAATCTAAAATTATTCTAAAACAAACAAACAAAAGTCATATATGTCTCTAAAAAGTACCCAAAAAACCTATAAAGGGCTGGGGTTGTGGCTTAGTGGTAGAGTGTTCGCCTAGCACGCGTGAGGCACTGGGTTCAATCCTCAATACCACATAAAAATACAAATAAAGATATTGTGTCAAAAGAATAAAATCATGGCATTTGCAGGTAAATGGATGAAAAGATGGTAGAAAAGATAATGCTAAGCGAAATTAGCCAGCCCCCAAAAACAAATGCCGAATGTTTTCTCTGATATAAGGAGGCTGACTCATAGTGGGGTAATGAGGGGGAGCATGGGAGGATTAGATGAATTCTAGATAGGGAAGAGGGGTGGGAGGGAAAAGGAGGGGGCAAGGGACTAGCAAGGGTGGTGGAATGTGATGGACATCATTATCCAAAGTACATGTATGACTGGGTGTCAACATACTTTATGTATAAACAGATAAGAAAAATTGTGGTATATATGTGTAATAAGAATTGTAATGTAGGAAAAAAAACAAAAGTGCATGTATAAAGGCATGAATTGGTGTGAACATACTCTATATGTGTAATAAGAACTGTAATGCATTCCACTGTCTTGTATTTAAAAAAATAAATAAAATCAATAAAACTAAAAAAAAGAGATATTGTGTCAACCTAAAACTAAAAAATAAATATTTTTAAACCCCATAAATACATATAAAATATGTAATGATTTGAAATAAAGAAAACATTATGATATACTATTGGGGGGGTTGTTTACTGAGGACTGAATCAAAGGATGCTTAACTACTGAGCTACATTCCCAGCCCTTTTTATTTTTTATTTTGAGACAGGATGGCACTAGGTTGCTTAGGGCCATGCTACATTGCTGGGATTGGCTTTGAACTTGCAATGCTCTGGGATCACAGGCATGTGCCACCACGCCTAGCTATCACATACTATTGTAAAGGATTTTTTTATGAAACTAACTTTTTTCTCAAAGAATTAGACCATTCAGGAAATTAACACTGCACCACAACAAGAAAATCTACAAGAAAATTATTTGTAAATTTTAAATGTTCTGCCAAGTCTCTTACAATTCAATAATGAAAAGACAGGGGGCTGGGAATGTGGCTCGGGCGGTAGCGCGCTCGCCTGGCATGAGTGCGGCCCGGGTTCGATCCTCAGCACCACATACCAACAAAGATGTTGTGTCCGCTGAGAACTAAGAAATAAATATTAAAAATTCTCTCTCTCTCTCTCTCTCTCTCTCCTCTCTCACTCTCTCACATATGTGACTTTTTGAAAAAAAAATGAAAAGACAAATACAAATACTTTAAAATGGGCAAAGGCTATTAACAGACATTTCTCCAATCAAAACTACAAATGGCCAATAAATACACAAAAGGATGTTCAACATCTTTAGCCACCAGGGAAATGAAAAACAAACCACAATGAAATACCTTCACAATCACCAAAATAACTATCATCAAAAAAACAGATAATAACTATCATCAAAAAAACAGATAATAGGACTGGGGCTGTAGCTCAGTGGCAGAGCGCTTGCCTAGTATGCATGAGGCACTGGGTTCGTTCCTTAGCACCACATAAAAAAAATAAACAAATAAAATAAAGGCATTCTGTCCATCTAAAACTACAAAAAAAATTTTTTTTTAAAGACAAATAATCATTGTTAGTGAGGATATGGAGAAGTTGAAAACTATTAGTGGCAATGGAAATGAAACAGCTACTTTGGAAAACAGGCTAGAAATTCCTAAAAAGATTTGACACAGACATGCATGTTTACAACAGCATTGTTAATATAGCCAAAAGGAAGCAACAAACAAATGTCCATCAATTGACAAAATGATGAATAAAATGTGACATATTCATATAATGGAAACTTAGCTATTAAGAATGAAGTACTAAAAAAAAAAGTACTAACACATGCTACAGTATAGATGAATCTTGAAAACATTATGCTAACTAAAAGAAGCCAATCACAAAAGACCACATACTACTACATGACTCAATTTATATGAAATATTCAGAATAGGCAAATCTATCAAGATAGAAAATAAGTGGAAGGCTTGGAGTTGTGGCTCATTGGTAGAATGCTCAACTAGCACCTGTGAGGGGCACTAGGTTCCATCCTCAGCACCACATAAAAAAAATAAATAAAACAAAGTTAAAAAAAAAAAAAAAGAACATCGGTGCTCAAGAACGAGACACACTTTAAAAAACAAAAGGTAAACAGAAAAAATAAGGAATGACTGCTAATGAGTACAGAATCTTTTTGAGGCAATAAATATGCTCTAAAATTGATTGTGGTAATGGGTACACAACTTTGAATATTAAATTCTACTAAAAACAATTAAAATTGTCCATGTTATGGTTTGGATGTGAGGTGTTGCCCAAAAGCTCATGTGTGAGACAATGCAAGAATATTCAAAGGAGAAACGATTGGGTTGTGAGAGTATTGAACCAATCAATGAATTAATCCCCACAGGATAACCACCAAGTGGTAACTGAAGTGGTAGGGTATAGCTAGAGGAGGTAGGAATTGGAAGTGTGGCTTTGGAGTATATATTTGTATCTGGCAAGTAAAGACCTCTCTCTGCTTCCTGATCTTTAGCCACCAGGGAAATGAAAATCAAACCACAATGAAACCTCATGTGAGCTGCTTCCCTCTGACACACTCTTCCACCATGATGTTCTGCCTCACCTAGAGTCCCAAAGAATGGAGTCTAATGTCTATGGATTAAGACCACTGAAACCATGAGCCCCCAAGTAAACTTTTCCTCCTCTACAATTGTGCTGATCAGGTCTTTTAGTTGCAGCAGCGAAAAAGCTAACTAAAACAGTCCAATTTAATTGAGTGAATTGTAAGACCCATAGATTTTTATCCCAATAAAGTTGCTTAAAAGAATTTGGGGGCTGGGGCTGTAGCTCAGTGGTAGAGTGCTTGCCTAGCAAGCATGAGGCAATGGGTTTGATCCTCAGCACCATATAAAAATAAATAAATAAAATAAAGGTATTGTGTCCACTTACAACTAAAAAATATTAAAAGAATTTGGGTAGCTGGATGCAGTGGCACACACCTGTAATCCCAGGGGCTTAGGAGACCAAGAAAGAAGGATCATGAGTTCAAAGCCAGCCTCAGCAAAAGAGAGGCACTAAGCAACTCAGTGAGACCCTGTCTCTAAATAAAATACAAAATAGAGCTGGGGATGTGGCTAAGTGGCCAAGTCCCCCTGAATTCAATCCCTGGTATTCCCCCACCAAAAAAAGAATTTAGCCTGTGTTATAAATGTGTTATTTCATCATCTTCATCTTCATCATCATCTTCATCATCATTATTGCTGTGGTTGTTGGTGTAATAAGGCTATGTTGACCCAGTAACATCTTCTTTTATAGACAAAGATACTAGGCCTTGGAGTAAATAAATAATTTGTACAGGTTACACAGCTAGTAACTGGCAAATCCAGACTTGATTCCCAGTACATTATACTGCCTCTTTTACTTTTAGCTGTGTTCATAATTTCATATTCCTGAGTTCTCACTTTAATTTTTAGCTCATGAAAGAATATGTAAAAACTTCACAATGCCCAAGGATGCCAAACTCAATATCACCTTCAGAGTGCATTTATTATAAAAGAAAAACTAACTAAAATACCATCTGCATGTGTTAATAGAAATTCCCACACATAATTCAAATTATGCAAGTCATTAAACATTTAATAATAAAGTCACCTTCGGTGAATTGGCTGCTGTACTAAAAAGGAAACTAAAGTTTCACCTATGATCATCTTTTAGATTGTTTGAAGAGAGCCATTTTTAGACTATCCTCTATAAAAATTAAACCACTATAGGGAAAAATCAATGGTTACAAGGCAAATTCCATTTTAGAAAACAGGAACCAGGGGCTGGGGATATGGCTCAAGTGGTAGCGCGCTGGCCTGGTATGCACAAGGCACTGGGTTTGATCCTCAGCACCACATAAAAATAAATAAAGATATTGTGTCCACCTAAAACAAAACAAAAAAAAATTAAAAAAAAGAAAACAGGAACCAAAGCATACCAGATACTGTAACCTCCTTGAGCTACTGAGATTCAAGCAGAAAAGTAGATTTACTTCTGACAAGATCCCTATGGATTAAATAAAACTTAAATGTGCCATACAATATTTCAAGCATTTATGAAAGGTATTTTAATCCTGTGAAATAAAAGTATCTTGTTTAACTCTTACTACATACTATGTTTTTGATATGCAATGTCCGCCCAAAAGCTCCTATTAATTCAGGAATGTTCAGAGGTAAAATGCTTGCCTTATGAGATCTGTGACCTAATCAGTCCATCCTAGTTTAAATGGAATGACTAGATGGTAACTGTAGCAGATGGGGCATGGCTGGAGGAGGTGGGTCACTGGAGGCATGTCCTGGAAGGGTTATTCTTCCTGTGAACCTCCCTCATCCCATTTCCTGTTCCCGCCATGATGAGCAACTTTCCTCCACTGGGCCTTCCCCGCAATGTGTTGCCTCCTCTTGGCCCAGAGCGATGGAGTTGACCATCTATGGACTGGGACTGAGACCTTTAAAACCATGAGACCCAAATAAACATTTCCTCCACTAAGTTGTTCTTGTCAGGTGTCTTAATCACAATGACCAAAAAAGCTAACTAAAGCAATATGTAACATAAGCATGTTAATATAATACTATATATGCATTATATAGTTACAAAATTAAAGATAACTATAAATTCTTTAAAGTTTTTCAAAATACAAACACTAAGTGAATTTTCTTTTTCTATTACTCTTAATATTACCCAGAATCTGATGTCTATTCTTACCACGATTCTGGTTCCATTCATGTGCTTCTCCTAAGTACTTTACATCGAACTGGTACTGTCCATTTATATAAAAATAATCATCAGTACTAAGAATGACTCCACTTGGATTATCCTCTTGCAAAGTCCTGTGAATGATAAAGGGAGTTATTTTCATTAATTTTCCTTCCAAAATTCTCCCTCCTACTTTTTACAGTCATAATTCAAATAAAAAAATTAACTACTCAATTTACAAGAGTGAAAACATCGTAATATTCAAAGAAATCATACCAAAATCCTCTAAGCATAAGTTTGATTCCCAATAAAACCGGCCTAAGGCAGTTTGCTTATGTAATATTCAGAAATATTTTTGTTATAAAAACTATTATAATTAACTATAAATGTCTGAAGATTAGTACGTTTTTAATTACCAAGAATATCTGACAACTAAAAATGCTTCAGAGCTCAGTCACAAGCATTCCCCTTATCTGATCACTTGATACACAATTATCTATTTCACCCACCTTAAGAAGGTCATTTCAAGCAGGCAAGTACTAAGATAGAAGTAATATTTAAAAGTAGATGAAGATGGCCAGGTATGGTGGCACTTGCCTATAATCCCACTTACTTGGGAGGCTGAGGCAGGAGGATCACAAATTCAAACTGTCTCAAAAATAAAAAATAAAAAGGACTGGGATGTAGCTCAGTGGTAGAGCATCTCTGGGTTCAATACTCAATAAGAAAGAGGAGGAGAAGGATGAAGAGGAGGAAAAATAGGCACAGCTCTCTGCATATTGCTATTAAACAAGCATACCCAAAACATCCAAAATATCATATTAATAGATTATCAATTTAATCTGTTAAGTAAAATTATACAAACTTAAGATAGCTTTGTGGGTAGGTTTTTTATTCCTAACACCTCTTCTAATTCTGGAATTTACCTGCTATATATTTGAGATACACACACCAAAAGAAACAAAAATTGTAGCCACACTTTGAAAACCCTTTCAATCATTCCCCAGTTTCTCTCCTTCCCTTAACTCATTATCAAAACTTCTAAATCCATCTTCCACCTTCATGGGACAACAAAATTGCTTGAGAGTTTTTGTTTGTTTGTTTTGGTACTGGGGATTGAACCCAGTGGCGTATAACCACGGAGCCATATCCCCAACCCTTTTTTATTATATTTTATTTAGGCAGGGTCTCACTAAATTATTTAAAGCCTCACTAAGTTGCTGAGGCTGGCTTTGAACTTTCGATCCTTCTGTCTCAGCCTCCCAAGCTGCTGGGATTACAGGCGTGCACCACCACACCCCCAAAATTGTTTAACTTATCCCTTCATGACCCTCTTTCCAGTAAATCTGAAAGCCCTGTTTTTCCCCTCATTTTTCTTGAGCTCACATACTAGTTTAATGCTCTGTCTCTGAAAAAACTCAGCTTCTATGTCTCCACACTATCCCACTTATTTCTCTCTTCATTCAAAAAATAATATTCCTACATTGGGACAAGCACTTTTTTCTCTTCCCATTCTCAAAGTATAGCTGCCTCTGATTTTAAAGCCTCTGAAATCTAGTTCTACAATCCTGTCCCACAGCTCTATACCTTTTAAAATATGGTCCTTCATTCTAATTTCTTTCTCAATATACAATGCTGTGTGACTTTCTGAAATATATGCATTATTAAATTGCTTTAATTTTGTTAGGTCAATGAGAACAGCCCATGATTTATCTACAGAAGAATACATTTGTAAATGCATGAATAAAATATGTGAAAATTAGGGTCAGGGTTGTAGCTCAGTGGCAGAGTGCTCGCCTAGCACGTGTGAGGCACTGGGTTCCATCCTCAGCACCACATAAATATGAATACATAAAATAAAAGGTATTGTTGTCCACCTACAACTAAAAAAAATATTTTTAAAAAATGTGAAAATTACTGAAGTCCAGACAAGTAAAAGCTATCAAAAAACAAGTGAATGGGCTGAGGGCCTGTACAACCTCCTGCCTTTAGATGTTGCAGGCCCGCTCTTTCCCCTCAGCCCGGCAAACACCCACCAAGCTCTAAAGGGAAAAACCTTCTCACTATCCATGGGATGACCTCAAAGCATCATCCCCCTCAGCAACCCTAAGTTGACAGAGGGAAAATGCCACAGCACTGCAACCGTTTTCTCTTTCTCTTTCAACATTCATTCTTTTGTACTCAGGATACAAAAAAAAAAAAAAAAAAATACCTGGTTTGTGCCACTCCCTTCAAAAAGCTCTGCAAAAGGAATCCAGTGCCAAACTTTGGGACATGGCACATTATTTGATTCTTAGCCTTAGTGACCTCTCCAGGCACCAAAACTGAAACCCGGCCCATTTTAATGTTCTGTTACTACAGTAATTAATTCTGTCCCTCTTTTTTATTCCTTTCCAACTCAAACTTCAGGTTTTGTTAATTTTCAATCTCCCAAGGTTTATATAGCTTATATTTGCCTGTAATTATAGTTCCCACAATAAAAGAAACATTTTTTACTTCAAAAGAAAAACAACTGAGGGCTGGGATTGTGGCTCAGCGGTACAGCAATCGCCTAGCACGGGCAAGACCCGGGTTCGATCCTCAGCACCACATAAAAATAAAGGCATTGTGTTGTGTCCATCTACACCTAAAAAATAAATATTTAAAAAATAAAAAAAGAAAAACAACTGAAATGAGCTAATAAAACACATTCCACAGATAACTATGCATACTCACTAAGACTAAATATACCCAGGACCAAACAGAAAAGACCCTCCCAAGAAAAGAGGGTAAACAATGAAAAACTTGGAAAGAAAAAAAGCATAGGCAAATAAAATGTTAGGAATAAATCTCTTGCCATTTAAAAGCTAAGGAAAGGGCTGAGGCTGTAGCTCAGTGGTAGAGTGCTTGCCTCACACACGTGAGGCCCTGGGTTCAAACCTTAGCATCACATAAAAAATAAATAAATAAATAAAGATATTAAAAAAAAAGCTAAGGGAAGGGAAAAGGAACTAAGAAAATAGTACTTTTTTTGGTACCAGGGATTGAACTGAGGAGTGCTTAACTACTGAGCTATATCCCCAGCCCATTTTATTTTTTATTTTGAGACAGGGTCTCAATGAATTGCTTAGGGCCTTGCAATCCTCCTGCCTCAGCCTCCCAATTCAATTATAGGCATGCACCATTGTACTCAGAGAAAACAGTACTCTTGAAGGAGTGCCACTGGAACCATAAAAGGCTACTTCTAACACTGACTCTGATCACCCAAGCCAAGGCACACACCTCCTAACTACAAAATGAACAAAAACGGATATGAGAAAATAGTTGAGAGTACTGTTTTGCAATAAATAAATCACAGAAAATTTGAAGTTCTTTTACTACCATTGTTCATCTCTTATGCTCTACCTTGAAATCACACATTTCTAAAAATATAATTTAACAACATACTAGAATCTCAGACTCCCAACTACCAGTAGAATTCATGTATTTAAGACTTCCTTTTTCATAATCCGCTTGAATCAAATGTATGAAATATGATATGCCAAGAACTTTGTAATGTTTTGAACAACTAATAAAAAAAATTAAAAATTAAAAATTAAAAAAAAGACCTCCTTTCCATGAATGCAAAATTAATCATGGTTGTTTAACTCCATGATCAAAGTTGAACTCATCTTTCTCCCACTCAAATTAACTCTCCTCCACACAAAGTTATTCCTGTTTATTTCACAAGGTCAAAATATTGGAACCAGGGCTGGGGTTGTGGCTCAGTGGTAGAGCACTTGCCTAGAACACGTGAGGCCCTGGGGTTCTATCCTCAGCACCACATAAAAATAAATAAATAAAAAGCTATTAAAAAATATATTGTAACCATCTTAATTTTTTCTTCTATTCTCTCAAAGGTATTCTGACAGGAAATTTTCCAATAAAAATTTCTAGAGAAAATAGTGTTATTAGCTACAAAGTTCAAAAAAACAAGTGGAAAAAAAAATACCTTAGGAGTTAATAAACATCTCCATCAAGCAAAGCATTTTGCATATTCAGATTATCTGTTCAGAATCATGCATAATACTTCTTAGAATTCAATTGAAACCTCGTACCTCGCCAAAAAAGATTTTCCTGATCCCGGAAGGCCTCTGAGAAGAACAAGAACTAGTCCAACATATGATGTTGTCTTCTTTCTTACAACTTGAGAAACAGGAGTTTCTTGTACTTGATAAGCACTTGTTCCCTCTTGGTTTCTCCATACCTTCGTTGGGGAAGTGTGAGAAATGATCGAGGGTGGAAATGTGTAGTTGACAGGTCTCCAGTGTGCAGCTGTGGTTACAACAGGAGCCACAAACCCATGGCTTCCTTGAAAGAGGTCAAAAGCAGGAATCATTGGATTCCACATTGGTGGAGGTGGAGGAGGAGGAAGCAGTAAAGGGAGAGGGGTAAGTACTGGGCAGTAATTCATATCCTTCCCCTTTGGTGGTAGTTCAGTATGTTTGTGTGGCTTGAAATTGAACCCTTCAGAAGGTACAAAAATATCAGAGACAGAAGTAGACCTCTGATTCCCACCAGTATCTGGCAAATCACACCCTGAATTTTGCACAGGAAGGTTTAAAGAAGCTTGAGGTTCGTTAGCATTCAAATTTACAGGGGCTTCGGAAAGTTGAGCCTCAACACGCTCAGATTCTAAAAGGTCGCTCTGTCTCTGATTAAGATTACTACAACCCACGATAGAGTCATTTGTTGGATTTAAAGAACTACTGAGATGAGAATCTTCTTGGTAATCATCTTCTAAAGCCAAAGTGTTATCCTTTATAAAACTTTTGGACCCATTCAAAACTGAATGTGAAGTTAATGGGTTTGAACTTACTGTAGAGACAGAATTTTCTAAATTCTCACTGTTGGAATCCATATTTTGCATACAATGGACAGGAGCCGTATTACTTGAATGTGAATTTATAAACTTACTTGGGTCATTAAAACTATTAACATCTTGCAAAGGCAAAAATGAGTATACTTGGTCATCAGGAGAAGAGTTCAATTTCTCAAAAGCATTCTGTATTAAGGAATCCAAGTCTTCAGTCAGCTGCATATCCAGAAATGAATCCATCTTCGAATCTTCACTCTCTTCTTCAAGAGGACACTTCTCCATTATTTCACTTCCTGTTTCAACTGGCTGGTTCTCAGAAGCAACAAAGCTTTGTGAAGATGATTCTTCTATCTTGGCATCAGAGGCAGACAATTCTAATAGACAATCCATGGCATTTTCAACTGTACAACAAGAACAACAACGATAACAACAAAAAAATACATATAGATGTTGAAAAAGTAAGACATAACTTTATTAAAATCCAAGGAAAATACTGGATTTTCCCTTGAAAGGAATATAGAGAAATTTATATATATTCAAGTCATCTTTTAGAAATTAATTTTTAACAAAGACTGCATTACTGAAGAAGTTTTAATAAGAGACATGCAATGCTGTTCTTTCAGACAAATAATACTAAACTATCATCCAGTATATAGTCTTCAATTAAGTTGTTGAGTAAAAGTATAAATATGTGGAATAGTATACGTTAGGGTTATTTATAAAGGTCTTAAATTCAGTTGATTTATTCAACAATTACCTATTGCATGTTATTTTAAGTATTGCATATTTAAGTACATATTCTAGTAAGTCTAATTTATAAAGACCATACTACAAATTTCACTTAATACAAAAAAATTTTTATGAGCATGTACTACATATCAGAAATACTTTTTAAAAAAACAAATAAGAGTCTTTACTACTTCAGAGGATTTTGCAGTTTAATGGAGACTGAAGATAATTACATTAGAAAATAATTATATCATACTATAAATTAAATAATGCATTGTTTTGAGAGTGTACAAATGTCACAGCAGTGTTCAGAAAAGTAAAGAAAGATTTTACATAAAGGGATATGTGAACTGGCACTTGAAGATTAAAAAGCAGTTTGCCAAATGGGAGGAAAAGGTAAGCCAAGGTTGAAAATACAAAGCATGTTTAAAGTATTGAGAGAAGTTGGTTGGAGAGAGTGGGTACTCAGCAATATGTATGGTTGAAAAGAAAAGAAGATAAAACTGCAAAGGGAGATGGGATAAAATTGAGAAGGGTCTTATATGGCATGCTAAGAAATATTAATTTTATTTTTTAAGGGAACTTGAAAAGAAACTGATAGTCATAGCATTTGGGCTAGAAGTTTTATACAAATCACCTCACTGAATCCTCGAAGAATACTATGAGGTATTATGAAGACATCTATGGAAATAGATGAAGACAATGAAGCTCAAAAAAGTATACCAACTCAGCTCAAGTCACACAGATAAAAAGTGACAGAGCCAGGACTGGTGTGTCTGACTCCAATGCTGAGCTCTTTTTGTAATAACAAATGAGCAACCATTAGAATTTTTAAGTATTTAGGAATGGGGATGTAGGTCATGGTAGAACACTTGTTTAGATGCATTAACCCTGGATTTGATTCCCAGCACCACAAGAAAAACTTTTAAGCATCTAAAATTTGGGGTTTGTTTTTGTTTTGGGGTTTTCTGTTTTTTGTGTTTTTTTTGAAATTTTTTTTTGAAGTTTTTTTTTTTTTTTTCCTTGATTTGTTTTAAAGAAGATTAATGTGGAAATGGCACAGCACAGCAGGTAACAGCTCTGGTCTGGAGTCAGAACACCGGCATTTAAATTCCTACTTGCTGGCTACATCACTTTGAACAAGTAATTAGCTTCCCTAAGCCTCAAGTTTCTCATTTGTAATATTGGGATAATAAAAGTACCTACCTCATAGGTTGTTGTGAGGACTAAATGAGATAATCCATGAAAAAGTGCTGTGCACAAGGACTGGCACCTAGTAAGCACCCAATTAATGTTCCCTTAAGAAGAAAAACAAAGAGGGATTGGAGGGGGCAAACCTGGCAGAAGGATCAATCAGGAAATCACATCAATACTACAAAGGCAAGAAGCCCTAAAAATGGAAAAAAGGGAAAAAAAAAAAAAAAGAAAGAAAGAAAGAAAGAAAAAGAAAGCAAATATAAGAGGTATTTCTATGAAAAAAATCTACATGATAGAAAAACCAAAAAAGATTAACTTAAAAAACTAGCATGTACTATAACAACAACAAAAAAACAGCATTAAGTAAAAAGAAATACAAAACCAACATAGATCATTATCAAACAAAAAGAAAAGTCTTAAACAGAGTGTTGGAAAAAATTTAAACTATAGTAGAAAAACAAACAAAAATATGAATGAACAATAAATATAAGAATAAGAATTAATGAAAACTCATCTATAAAAATGTTTACTATTTCTCTTTATAAAAAAACACAAATTAAGGTACAATTTATTACTATTAAAATCTTAAAACAATTCTACATAATGCTGAAGAGGCTGTGGTGAAAGGGCTACACTTATTCAGTGCCAGTGGTATTACAAACCTGCATACCTCATTGGTGGGCAATTTAAGCAGTGTATCCAAGAGTCGAAAACTGCTCTTACCCTGTGACGCAGAAAACAAAATTTTGGGACTAAGAAAAAAAAGCCAAAAGAAAGAAAGAGGCTATTTTTACCAAGGTGTTCTTCACAATGTTAATTATTCATGAGAAACTTAGATAAATAAGTTACAGCACAATTCCTCACTGGAGTCCTGGAAAACTGCTGAAAATAAACAAAAGGTTGTAGAACACTGAAAAACTGTTTATGTCATATTAAGTTTAAAAAGCAGAATATAAAATGTCATCAATGCTATTATTCAAACTACTGAAAATATCAAATGTTTACAACAAGGTCCTCAGAAGATCCTGAAAAGAGAAATAAGTTATTTGTTAAGATATATAGTTTTCTTATGGGTTCCTGCTCCTATGTTAATGTATATTCAACAAATTTTAAAGACACCAAAATTAGGAAATAAATGTTAAAGTCACTTACAAAACTACACACCATCATTTCTGAGCACCAAGTGTGTTGTAGAAACCTGGTTTTCTGCACACATACCAAAATAGAATAGGTAAAATATGCTCACATCACAGTTCACACAATGACTAAAAATGGAAGTATATCATGTATTATCAAAACCTTCAAATCTTCATTTTATACTAATCATGGTCAATAACAATACTAAATATCATCAAGTCATTTATTCATCCAGTCAACTTTATACAGTCCCTCGGTCTGCAAACATACTTCTAAATAATTTACTAAGACTTCACCAAGAAAAAAAACTCAGTCTTCAACCAAAAAGTCCTATAAGATATATGCTATTATTTTTTTATTAACAGATTAGAAAACAAAAGACTTGAGAGGTCAGCAGAACTGAATTGAAACCCAGGCCTCTTGAGTCCAAAGCCAATGTTCTGAAACAACACTACTTGCCTCAATTCTTATTAATCAGCTCTTATTTCTATAATTATAAACAATTACCTAGTCACTCAATAAATCTCTGCTAACTTCTATTATGGGTCATTTGCTATTTCAGGGGTTAGGAATATAAAAGAAAAATAAAAAGTTTTTAAAATCTCTGTCTTCATGACAGAGACACTGGCTCTCAACCACATATAATTTTGTCTCCCAGGGGACAAATGACAACATAGGGAAATATTTGTGATTGTCACAACTAGGGGTTGGGGTGCTACTGGCATCTAGTGAGTATAGGCTAGGGATGCTACTAAACACCCTATAATACACAGCAGAACCATTTACAATGAAGAGTTATCCAGTCCAAAATGTCAACAGTGCCAACCGGTTCTAAAGGAAAGATTAAAAAATAAAATGAAGAATGATATCTATACATGCATCTTACATCTAGAACTGTGCATTTCTTAAGAGGAAAAATTTTGCTTTATTCTTCTTATTCCTCATAATACCAAACGTAGTACCTTGCCCATGGCAGGTGCTTAGAAAATGATGAACAAAAGGGAAATAGGACAGTTACTTTACTATATGGCATATATATGAAGTCTTCTTATAAGACGCAAAGGGTTCAAACTGAACTTTTTCTCACCTTTGAAATCACATTCAGAAAGCATCAAATACACTACATCAGGATCCAGATCAGAAAACATCTCTGAGATACTGGTGAAGAGTTCTTCCTGATCAGTGTTTGTCTCACACACGGAAGGAAGGGTAGTGGTTGACTCCTCATGACTAGCAAGACTGGATACGACAACTTCCTTAGAGTTTGCAGTCTTCCGAATAGGATTTCCCCCAAGATTTTTCCTTTTCCTTGGCATTCTGACTTCCAAAACTAAAATTTTTCCCTTTTTTAAAAAAATTTAAGATGTTTGATATTAAATCATAATTCAAAGAAAATAGCGTTAAAAATCTTGCACAATCCAGTGGTAATAGGACCTAAAATAGAAAGCAAGTAAAAACACTCAGGCTATGTAGTTATATTTCTAAAACTGGAATGACATTATTATTTAATGCTAAGAAAGTACCATCGACTCTGGCAGCAAAGCCAAAAAATAGTCAAACAATTTCTCTGTCCAAAATATTTCAGTTTTTCCAGAATGGAACATGTTAAATAAAAATTAAGATATTAACAAACATAATGTATTTCAGAACAGTGAATACACTGTGTGAAACACAGTGACTACACTGTTTTAATACCATTATTTCATTTTAAACACATAAAACGGCATCCATAAATACAATTATGATGCCTATTGAATCTACACTCAGATGTCTAATAGGCATCATAAACTAAACATGTCCAAAACTGAGTTCCTGATCAAACCCTTTGAACCTGTTCTTCCCAGTCTTTCCCATCTCTGTTAATGTAACTCTATCCTTCTAATTGCTCATGTCATAAATCTTGGAATCATCTTTGATTCCTCTCATCCCACATCCAACTGGTAAGCCAATTTTGCCAAATACAACCCACAAAATGTATCCAGGATATGATCATTCTTTACCATCTCCACTGCTACCACCCTAGATTCAGCTATCTCAGACTCTCTCCTGAATTAATCAGACAAATCAATCTCCCTGCTTCCACTCTTGTCCCTTCAGTCTACTTAGCACAGCAGGCAGAGTGGCTCAGTTAAACCCTAGGCTGGATCATACCCCTTTTCTCCTACACTATCCACCAGCCTCCTGTCTCAAGATGAAAGCAAAGCCCTTAAAATGGCCTTAACCCAGACAATTGTTACCTCTGTACTGTCATCTCCAGATCCTCCTTCCCTTGCTCATGCCATTCCAGCACACTTAGCATCCTTGCTTTTCTTCAAATACATCAGCCATGCTCCCAAATAGGAACATTTACACCTTGGTTCCTAATAACTACTTTTTACCCCAGGTACTTATATATTTCCTCACCACCTTCTTATCATTACTCAAATGTTACCACCTCAGAAACTCAAGTCCTCTAATTCCTTTCTCTTGTTGATTTTTTTTTTTTTTTTTTTGCCTAAGACTAATCTTCTAACATGGCTTATATTCTATTAATATTGTGTTTACTATCCACAATCCAGTAAAGTGTAAGCTCCACAAGGGCAGTGACTCATGTATTGGGAATAAAACTACAGAGAATTTACTTGTTTTCTCTGCTTGGATGTAGTCAATAAACACTTCAGATTTAACATATTTTCCCCAAAATCCACTCTCTGGTCTAACTACCATCATCTACCATTTTTGTCTCCTAACTAATTAGGATTCTTGTCCTAACTGGTTAGCACCCTTGTCCCCTAAAGTCTATTTTCAACCTACCTGCCAGAATGATCTTTAGACAACCTAAGTCTAATTGAATCAGGATCTGTTTTAAATTCAAGTTGTTCTCCATGTCACTTGGAGTAAAAGCTAAAGTTCTTTCAATGGCTTACCTCCCTGCTGACTCTTAATTTACTCTTCCCAGACATTTGCATTACTAACTCCCACACTTCCTTCAAGTCTCTGTTCAAGTATCATATTCAATGATTTTTTTCTAATTGTCCAATTGAAAATCAAATACCCAACTCCCTCTGCCCCAATCTCCTCCCTTCCTGCTGACCACCCATTGCCCTTGTCACCTTCTAACATACTATAAAATTTACCTTTTAATTAAATTTGTGTCATAGGCTCTCCACCTTCCAGAATTGCACTGTCAATATGGCAGCCACCAGCCACATGTGCCTATTTAAATTTAAATTAATTAAAATTAAATAAAATTACACTTTTATATCTTAGATATAAGTAGAATGCAAAGAAATTACCAGAGACAGAAAAAAGAGTAGGTAAATAATGATAAAGGATCAATCCACCAGGAAGACATAGCAAGCCTAAATGTCCACATACTCAATAAGAGAGCTACCAAAAAGATAAAGAAAAAACTGATAGAACTGAAAAAAAAAAAAGACAAATTCACTGATTCAATACTGCTCCAGTAACAATTTACACAATTAGACAGAAAATCCCAAAGATACAGAATTCAACAATACCAACAATTAAGAAATCTAATCAACATTTTTAGAACATTCCACCCAACAACAGCAGAATATATATTCTTTTCAAATGCCCACAGAACATCTACCAAGACAAACCATAACTAAGCTACATAACAAATCTTACCAAATTTAAAAGAACTGAAAGCATACAATTTGTTCTCCACATAGAATCAAACTAGAAGTCAACAAGTCAAAGGGTAACAGAAAAATCTCCAATTTGGAAACTAATATTCTTCTAAATAATCCATGGATCAAAGATGAGTGTAAAGAAAAAATTTTAAATACGCTGAACTGAATGAAAATGAAAATACATTATATTGAAATTTGCAGCACACAGCTAAAGCAGTGATGAAGGGAAATGTATAGTGCTAAATGCATACGTTAGAAAAGAAGAAACACCTTAAATCAACAGATAAGCCCCCATCACAAGAACCTAGAAAAAATAGAAGGAAATGAAAAGAAAGCAACGAAAACAGGAGAACAACAGAGAAAATCAAATTTTAGAAGTACAAACTAGTTAATTAAAATAAATACAATCCACAAACCTCTAGCTAAAAGAGAGAAAACACAAATTATCAATATTAGGGTTAAAAATGGAATATCATTACAGACCCTGAAGATATCAGCAGACTAGTAAACTACAAACATTTATACACACAGAAGTCCAGTCTACCGTAACACACTCAATAGATAAAAGACTTATAATTTACCAGGTGTGTGGTGACACATGCCTATAATCCCAGGAGCTCAGGAGGCTGAGGCAGGAGGATCATAAGTTCAAATCCAGCCTCAGTAACTTAGCAAGGCCTTAAGCAATTTAGTGAGACCCTGACTCCTAATAAAAAATAAAAATGGGCTGGGGATGTGGCTCAGGGGTCAAGGAGTCCTGGTTCAATCCCTGGTACCAAAAAAGAAGCGAGGGGAAAAAAAAAACCCATAATTTTTAGTTAAATTTAATTCACAATTTTAAAACTAAATACACACACACACACACATATATCTCAGTATTAAATGAAGAACTCTAACAAACATTTTTAAGAAAACTCAACGTGATTTCTACACAATCTCTCCTAGGAAATAAGAGGAAGGAACACTTTCAATTCATTTTATAAAGTTAGTACTATCCTGATACCCAAACCAGAGGCTGGGGATGTAACTTGGTGGTACAGCTTGCCCTGCACACCTGAGATCCTGGATTTGATCCCAAGCACTATCAAAAAGAAAAAGCCAAAACCAGACAAAGTCAAAAAAATACAGACCAACTTCCCTCATAAATGTAGATACAAAATTGTTAAGAAAACATTAGCAAATAAAATTCAGCAATATGTTTTTAAAAATTATATACCATGAAGTTTATTCCAAAGATGCAAAGCTGGTTCAATATTTAAAAATTAGTGTAATCTACAATATTAACAGGTTAAAGAATAAAAATTAAACTATATCAATCAATATTGGAAAAAATCTGACAAAAATCAACATTCACTCATAATTTTTAAAAAACCTACCAGAAAAAAAAAAAAAAAAAACAGAAATAGAGGGGCACTTCCCTCAACTTGATAAATAACATCTACAAAAAACCTACAGTTGGCTGGGTGGCCAACCGTAGTAGTATGGTGGCCCATGCCTATAATCCTTGCTATGGTAAATGAGGCAGGAGGATAGCAAGTTCAAGGTGAGACTGAATAACTTAGCAAAACCCTACCTCAAAATAAATTTTTTTAAAAGTTTGGAGATTTGGCTCAAGGGTAAAGGGATTGCCTAGTTTATGCAAGGTCCTGGGTTTGATCCCCAATACCACCATCCACCAAAAAATTTAAAAAAAAAATAAATTTAAGACCCTAGAGTTAACATTATATCTAGTGATAAAATACTAAATGCTTTCCTCCTAAAATCAGGAACACAGTAAGAATATTCACTCTTACCACTTTTATTCAATATATTGCTAGAAGTTCTAGCTTGTAAAATAAGGTATAAAAAAAAAGAAGCATATACAGATCAGAAAAGAAGGAATGAATCTCTCCCTAATAACAGATGATATGGTCATTGAGGAATCTACAAAATATCCAACAAATAAGTTTAGCAAGGATGCAAGACAAAAAGAAAGAAAGAACACAAAAAATACAACAGTTACCTCTCCTAGCAATGTACATGGTTGCAGAATATTCACAGTCACTCCAAAAAACTATGAAATACTTAAGTACAAATCTAACAAAAGAAATGCAAAACTTTTATGCTGAAAATTACAAAACAGGGATTAAAAAAAAAACAAAGATCTAAATTCATGGCAAGACAGCATGTTCACGGACTGAAATGCTCAACATGGCAAAGATGTCAATTCTTCCCATATTCATATACAGGTTTAACACAATTTCTATCAAAACTCAAGCAAGACTTTTTTTTACAAACATAGACAAGATTATTCTAAAATTTATAAGAAAAAGGAACTACAGGGCTGGGGATATGGCTCAAGCGGTAGCACGTTGCCTGGCATGCGCGAGGTGCTGGGTTCGATCCTCAGCACCACATACAAATAAAAAATAAAGACTTGTGTCCACTGAAAACTAAAAAAATAAATAAATATTAAAAAAAGAAAAAGGAACTACAGCTAGAACAATTTTGAAAAAGAATAGAGTAGGAAGGGATCAATCGACCTGATTTCAAGAGTTCATAAACAGCTACAGTAATCAAGTCTGTATGGTATCAGCAGAGTAACAAATCTGGGAATAGAATAGAAAACCCCAAAACAGCCAACATATATATGCCCAACTGGTTTTTGATGAAGGTGCAAAAGAAATTCAATGGAAAATATACAGCCTTTTCAATAAATGATACTGGAA